GCAAAATATGTTTTACCAAGCTGCAGATTTGCTCAGTTTGATGTTTTTGCAGTGAGAATATTGTGTCCTGCACCATCTGGCTCTCATCGGCACAGATGCATTTATCTGAACAAATGTGAAACTGTAAGTCAGAACAGACATAGATTTGACTGAAAATTTTGAAAAAAGAGAAAAAACATGGGGAACCACCAAGATGAAGCCTTCCTCTCATAAAAGTCGCATCAATAAAGGTCAAATCCGCCGGGAAGGCAGAGAAGATTAGCAGACATGATGGATGGAAAACCAGTGGGAATGTGTTTAGATTTGGGATATAGATGAAAAATTAAGTTGTAATAAAGCAGGTGAAAGGTCAAGGGCATAAATAACAATCAGCTGTGAAGACTGCTGCACCCTTCCTCCATCATCTCCCCCATTCGTGGTCAGATGGTCTCATGTTTATATGCATAAACTGCAAGTTATTTTCACATTCTGACATGTGAAACTAGTGGATTTTTGGTAAATTCAGTGGATCCTCATGTATTTGAGGCTTTGTTTGTGGAATGTCTCTTCAAAATACTTGTAGAAAATTTGCATATTTGTCCATTTTTTTGCAGGGAAATCTGAAATGTAAAAAAAAAGAAAAGAAAATGCAGCTTAGGGAGCTGAAATGCTCCTACACAAAGCAGCCAATCCAGAAGCGCCAGCCATTTTCCTTGGTCCTGATTGGCTGAACACACAAGAGTAGAGATAACAATAACTGCTAAGATGTGCTAATTAATGTCTCTTTCAAAAAAATCAACTGGGACGCTCAACAAAGTCAGATTTCCCACTGACGTCGTGATTTCGCCCATTAAATGTTTCAATATGGCCGCTCATTGCATCAGCGGTTTTAAGACGTGGTGGAAACAAGTTTATTTTACAACACGCACATGTAAAAATGCATCTAAAATGAACATGTAACACGCAGCACCTGCAGCTGTAAACAGAACAAATTAAAAGCAATGCTCGCTTAAAGTGTTGTTTATGAAAGTTACTGCAGCCAACGTCTATGGGCGCCGCCATGTTGATCATCCTGAGCTCAGCTGTAGCCTAGAAAAAAATGGATTTTAAATATTTGCTAAAATGTTGACAGTATAAGAGAGATAATCTGAAAAAAGAAAAATGTTTTTCTTTCTCCCAGTTCTAATTGCAGACGTACATCACTCAGTCAGAAACCTCCAATCAGAGCCGGGAGGAGGGTCTTAGCGCTGTCAATCACTCTCATGCTCACCTCTTCCCGTTTGCTGTCTGCTACATCTGATTCATCACAACATAGTCTGCCGCTAATGCTAATGCTAGTTCGCCTAGCCACAGATGACAGTTGATAAACAGTTTTCCTGGAATGGTAACTTGTTCTGTTATTAGCACATTGAACCGCATTGATTGACAGCACTAAGTCCCGCCCCCTGGCTCTGATTGGCTGTTTTTAAAAAGGAGTGGTGTAAGGAGGTCCATCTTTTCACACATTATCTGTCATCTTGTAGTTAAATGCTGCAGCTTTAAACCTAGAGCTCTGATACAGCATAAGTTTAAACTTTGACACCCAAATAAAACTCAGAATTCTGCTTTTTTGAATTTTGGTTTGGCATCCAGACATAATTAGACCCCCCTGACACCCTCTCCCCATCTAGCCAGTCAGACTACAACTTTCTAGAGGCGCCCCTGCATCTATCAGCTATGGTTCATTGAGCCCAGTCGGTACCTTGAGGTAGTCGTTTTCAGATCTCAGCTCGTCCATCTCCCGCAGCAGGTCGTCCTCGGCTGCAGCCCTGCCGGTTCCTGTCGGTTTGAATTGTGCGCTGGCGGACGGTTTCTCCGGTTTCTGTCTCTCTCCCTGCGGCCCCGCAGCGCGCTGAGCCGGAGACGCGCCGGCGGGCGCCGGAGCAGCGCGATTATCGCCCACCGGCTGATCCCGGTCGCTGGAGCCGGTGCCGGACTCGGCGTCGCTGGCGGCCGGCGCCTGCTTGTGTTCGTCGGACAGCGGCTCGGACGGGCAGTCCGACAGGTCCGAGCTGCTGTCCGTCTGGCTGACCCGGCTGAGCTGCGCGCCTGTCGGAACCCTGATCGGGGATCCATGGCTGAGAGGCCCCGGGGATCCCGCGGCCAGTTTGCCCTTCTTGCCTTTGGTGCGGACCGGACTGCTTGTGCCGTCCGGCTTGGTGCTGCTGGCTGCTGCCGCTGCATGCTGCGGCGTCTTCGTGGGTTTTTTCGCGGCGGGGGACTTGATGCTACTTTTTGGCGTGGCTGGTTTCTCTTTGGCCCCAGTTGTGTTGCGCCTGGAGGTTCGGTTCGGATGGGCTAAGGACGCCGCGGCAGACTGCTGCTGCTTGGCGAGCTTCGGGGATTTGGGGACGATGGCAGGTGGCTTGTTGGAGCGGGAGTGCACATCCTTGAGGAAAGGTCTCGCCGGGGAAGGCGCTCGGTTCAGCCTCTTCTTCTCCAACTGTTGGCTCTGCGGTTTGGAGTCAGAGCCATTGGAGCTCTCCATTGTACAGGAGGATGATCAGGAAGGAAGCGATCAATCCACGGCACCGAGGAAAATCTCTGACGTGCGCCTGCAGGGAAGCAGCCAGGTTGCTCTGCTTTCTTCTTCCTTGTCGGTTTGGGGATGCGCATTCTGCGGCGGGCTGGATGCTGCTTTTCACTCCATCCAGCAACATTCACCAGGTTGTCATTGTAGTCCCCGCTGCCTGTGGAGCCTCCGGAGGAAACACTGCAATGAAGGAGAGGGGATTAGTGGCAGGTTGCATCTGCAGCCCGGGCTGCTTCAACTCAACTTGGGAATCACAAAAAGTGAGCCGGAGTCAGATCGCTTCCTCCTCCATTCCCGTCTCATGCGCTCCGGACCCGCAGCCAGTCGCTCTCCTTCACAAATGACACGTAAAATCTGCAATCGCTGCGGTGTGAGGCTCGACGCCCGCGGATTCCTGCGAGGCGCATGCGCTGCTGCTTCACACCCCTTGTTTTCTGTGGGACCAGGTCTGCCACGCTCTGCTGCGCATGTCCTGGAGGCTGTTGGACACCTTTACACAGAGGGACAAATGTTCACGCAAAAGCCCAATAAAGGGGAACAGAGTATCGAACCCAGATGTTCACAACAAACTTAGAGCAAAGTTGTGGTAAATTAGGTGGAAGCATTTTGATGAGTCATTTTCTTTTACAAGTAAAAATCTGAAAAGTACAGCATTGTAGAGGCGATGCTATGTACTTTACAGGCACACAGTGACATTTTATAATACAATCAAGTAACTTATCTTTTCATTTATGTGATGCATAAATGAAAATAAATTACTTTCCAATTTGACGTCTCTGTCCCTTTAAGAAGTTCCTTCTCTTTCAGACAGCTGCCTTGTCATCACAAACCTTATGCATTAAAGCCGCAGCATGTCACTTTTACAAAAATATGTACAACTGTCACCATGTTATGAGACAAATAATCTGTGAAAAGATCAGAAACAACCAATCAGAGCCAGGAGGCGGGTCCTAGCGCTGACAATCAACATCATGCACTCACTGCTATATGCTAGTGACGGAGAAACAACTCACCTTTTCAGGGATCTGCAGTGATCGGTGGCCATGCTAACTAGCCTAGCATTCTGCTATATTGCATGATTGACCACTAAAGCCCTCCTCCTGGCTCTGATTGGTCGTTTTTGATTGAGTGGTGTATTTCTGAAGCTTGATTTTTTTCTTCAATTATTTGTCTCATACCAAACTGTGACGACATGGTGACACTTCTAACAAATCTGAAAAAAAATATACATATTTAATAAAAGTTAATTTTGCAGCTTTCAATTATTTACAGCTGTTTTTAAGAGAGTTGGACAGAAAAGTACTTTGAATGATGACTTCCAGGTGTTATGCTAATTACTGCTGCCGCTAGTCTGGAGGAACTGAGCGGGGAAGAAGTGCTCCGATGCAGACTCCAAATCTAGACACTTGGCCAGCTGTTCAAGCTTCACAACAGATTCCAAATTAGATTTAGGCCTGGACTTTGACTACACCATTTGAACACAAGAATGTGGTTTATTCAAAGCTTTTTGATTTTAGCGTCTCATATTTTTTGCATACTTTTACAGTTTTTTTCTCCACATGATGCTGCCACCACCACAAACTTCCTAATCTTTCAGACACCCAAAAAATATAAATAAACATGAAACTTTAGTAATAAATATAGACATCTTTAATTGCATTTCATTAGTTCAAGAATGCCACAAAGTTATAAATATAGCCAATCTGCTTTAAACCTTCCAGACTGGTTTTAACACAAAATAACAGACATACATCATAAAGGATACACGTCGCAAATAAAATGCAATTCTTTAAATGTATAGTTAAAAACCACAAAGTAGTAAAAGGCTTGGTTATCAGAACAAAGTCCACAGGGTTAATGCCAAAACGTCAAGGGGAAAAAGGTTTCCTTTCCAAACAAACACCGCTATCTGAAGAAATGCTTCCAAAACTCAGGCCATTAAAAATCCCAATTTTCCAGATGATTTCAGCGCAAACGGTGTTCTGCTGGACGATACTCTTATTGCTAGAAGGTTGAACTGAAAACGTAATATTTTTTTAATCCTAGAAAAGCTGTCAATTTGAGAAGGTTTCTTTTTTTTTTTATTATAAAAACTCACAGTGCTACGTTGCAACTTCTGCAATAATTTCATAACAAACAAAGCCTGAACTTTAACAATCCACCAGACCAAAATGTGGGAAAATGTGGTAAATTAATAGAAAGGTTGTGGAGTTAGATGCAGTTTACAACTTCACCACTAGATGTCAGTACACCTAACATAATGGGACTTTAATTCAGAAGAAAATCCCAAGTGTGCAGTTGAGCCCATCAGTTTCCTGAGTCATACAAACACCAAGCAAGTCGCCTTCAACTGCTCCAACTTTTTATTCTTTTTTCTTCCCCCGGAATTCATTAGAAAATAAACAACGAAGAAGTATTAGTAACAAGAAAGGATAGAACCATGTCTGTATTCTGGTGGCATTACGGTCTTTATTCCCCTGCTTAACACAAATAGATCCAGGACTACATTACCCATATCTCCTTGCGTCAATAGAAAGTAGCCACATTAGTGCTAAATAAACTACAACTTGTGTTATTTTGTTTTCCTGCATGTCAGCTTAATATGGGAATCTGGTTTTGTAGTGCAAAACATTACAATTTATAGAAAAATAACTCCAGCCACATTAATACTTCAAGGTAAAGTAGATCCATAAACTTATAACTTGGCAAAAATATTTCCACCTTATCCAGTAATTACAGCAACCACACCATCACTTAGTAAAAACACGTCAAGTTTAAACTGAGCTATAGAGAGATGCGAGATGTAATTCCTTTGTCTCGGAGCGACTCGGACGATTTTGAAATTAGTGAGAGGTTCCCCACATGCCTAGTGTAACCGTCCAAACACTGAGGTAGTCTGGGTGTAGGCAGGCTGGTGGTGGGAAGGGTCTCCAGGTGTAAGCGTTAGTGTGCTGCAGGTCAAAGTGTTCAGTAACAGAGGAGAGGAAGCAACAGAGAGAGGATAATACTGCTCGATTCATGCAACAATTACAGCAGCGTCAATAACTCTAAAGTGCTGCTGTGTACTGCCCCCATGTGGCCACGTTGGTGCGCTGCAGGTTTCAGAGAGTGTCTGAGGGTGTGTGTGTGTGTGTGTGTGTGTCGGGTGTGTTTCCACACAAAGTCTCAGCAACAGCGCATGCGTGGAGGGGGCAGCTCCGGCGGCACTTCGGGTTCAGGCTGCAGAGACAGGACGCTGTTGGAGAGCTCCTTGTTGGGAACTTGAAGAGGCATCTGGAGGATAAAAACAGGAAACTCAGCCGTGCAGAGGTGAGAAAACAAGACAGAAACAGCAACAAACAGGAGCTTTACCGGCACTGGAGCTGGGAGATGAGGAGTAAAAATAAAATAGCTGCTTTTTTTCATAACATATGCGATTTACAATTATAATAATTTTTTTCCCCCCAAATCAGAAGGGATTCACCAAAAAAAGCAAATTTCTGTTGTTTCAAAACCAAAATAACTCTAAATAATATATGCAATTAAATGCCAATTCTTCCCTTTGCTGGATGTTATATCTTATCTCTATTTATTCCATTAAATTATTTAAAATCTAATGACACTAATGGAACAAGAAAAGATAAAAGTCTGTGGTGAAGGTTGCAAACATCATCAGTTAAAACAAGAATTCTCAATTGACCTTCACTTCGTTTTACCTAATAAATAAAGAAATATTCAAAATCCTAAACACACCAACCTTGCTGAGAATGTCATCAACAAGCTTAACGAAAATCTCATCCACGTTAAAATTATCCTTGGCACTGGCTTCGCAGAAGCGCATCCCGGTTATCCGAGAGGCAAACTGTAAAATATAAACGTCATAAATCAGGAAATTCAGCATTAGCATCATTAGCAATTAGGGGAAGGGACGAGCCATCAGCAGGCCTGGCATGATAACAACTTTTACTATTGTCCCAGAAGTTATTGTAATAAACAATAAAATTGTTGTTTTGAGACCATGTTCAAGTAGTGATAATAAACTTTAAAGTCTAATGAACATTTAGTACGGGAACTGGAAAACACTTAATGCAAAGTTGCATTAAAAGTGTAATTATTTAGTCAATAACACTTTAAGACGACAGTCAAACATTCATGAAGACTCCTTTATCTTCATGTCACCCTGTTAAATAAAGTGTTAATGAAACAACAAATAAAATAAATTATGATGTTTCTGTAAACAAAAAGGTCCTTCAGAAAAAAAAAGGTTTAGTTGAGACAAAAGTTGAAGACTTTTATCATCCAGTTTTTGGTAGAAAAATAGCCATGCAAATGACAATCGTTGAGTTTGCTTTAATTTATCATGTGATTAATTGATTTATTGATTATCGTGACAGGACGTTTGAAGTTGTAGTGACGATGTGAAGACGTGGACTCACTCGCTCTCCTTGTTGCTTGGAGATGATCCGATCCGTCTCACAGTCCAGCTTGTTCCCAACCAGCAGAAGTTCTGCTTCCTCTGAGGCGTACTAACAACGGGAAACACAGAGGACAAGAACAACTTCATCAACTCAGAAAACAGCACTGGGTTTTCAGAAATGTACAGTGTCAATCAATGTTGGCTGGAAAAAACAGCTGTGGGTCAGTTAATTAGATTTGGGATGTTTTTCACAACATTTGACGGGTTTTTATTAAGGATTTAAAGAAAAATTACAATAAAAAAGTAGTAATTATGTATCAAAAACCCTTCCTTGACATACTTTTACTCTTCAGCCTCCTTGATTGATGCCCCCTTCTCTTTTCTTTTATTAAAATGAGCATTTCATTATTTTTCTCACTTTAAACATACATTTGCACAGTAATATTCTAATCAAATACATCTGATGAGTTCCTTTTACCTTGTCTATCATTTTCATCCATTTAGGAAGGTCATCGAAAGTTTCCTGTTTGGTGATGTCATAAACCACGACTATTCCCTTGGCTCCTCTGTAGTAGGCCGACGTGATGCTGTTAAACCTCTCCTGGCCTGCAGTGTCCCTGCAGCAAACAGATCAAACCACATTATTTAAAAAGGATTTAGACAAGAATATCAGCTTGAATCAGAAATAATTTAAGATGAACAGGACTTCATTGTATTAAATCAAGATGTGGTTATGATCAAAAAAGAAGAATCAATCGAGGAAGCTTGTTTTTACATTATTGATATAATAATTTTAATGATTGTTGACAGCTGAGAGCCGCAACGTTACGATCCTTCATTTAGACGTATCAGAGTAAAGAGAGTGGAACAAAAATGCCACATTTTTCTGACTTTTATTTACAGAAAAAGGTTCATAAACTATATTCTCTTCTGCCACTTCAAATATAATAGTTTGACATAAAAATGACATGTTCCTTTGGTTAATGGCTTTTTTGACTCCTAAATTAGTTGACAATCATTTAAATGATTAATTAGTCATAATTAATCGTTCCAGCTCTAATCTTAAATGCAAAATTTATATATTTTTTTGTACAGTTTTGGTTTAATTCCTGCTCTGAATCAGTTACTTCAATAACGGATTCATCACAATTCATCTGATTGATCATTTCATCAAATGATCTTATGAATAAAAATCTGAAAATGTGGCATGGATTTATAGTTAAGCCCTCTGGGTCGACTTTTTTTTTTTTTTCAAATTAATCGACTAAATTAGTCGACAATTATTTCAAGAGTCGATTGATCACAATTAATTGTCTAAACTCCGATTAAAATACATAAGATTTTTGTCATTTTTACCATACAACGTACAAAGAATGCTTGTGTGTCACAATCACATTTAAACAGGTGGTAAAATAACATAAAAAGTTGAATGAAGTGTATTTTTAAACAGGTTTGTAATTGTGCTGTCATGGCTTAATGATGTCTGAATTAAATTCCCTGTTCATAGATTTCATTTAAAGATCAAAATGAAAAAAAAAAAACAAAACCAACAACCCACAGTTGGATTTATAAGAACAGCAGTATGAGCAACACTAAGTGCAGTGCTACTGTACCTTCAGCCAGCCAGTCTCTCCCTTTTCCCAGTGAGTCACAGTCAGGCTAATGAACAGGAGAGTGGACAGACAGCAGCACAATGGCAGGGTTAGCCCAGGCTGGACAAAGCTGAGGTGGAGCTTGATGAGAAATTTCAATACGAAAACACACACACACACACACACACGCCGTGGGCGACAGCTGTCCAGATCAGAGTGAGGACTGGTGGAGGAGTGAGTTTGAGATGGGAAGGTGGGTGACTGTTAGTCAGCAGCAGAAATGTGTCAAACAAGCACAGGAGGTTCGACGAGCGCGTTCATGGCTCCGAGCGCGTTCATGGCTCCGAGCGCGTTCATGGCTCCGAGCGCGTTCATGGCTCCGAGCGCGTTCATGGCTCCGAGCGCGTTCATGGCTCCGAGCGCGTTCATGGCTCCGAGCGCGTTCATGGCTCCGAGCGCGTTCATGGCTCCGAGCGCGTTCATGGCTCCGAGCGGCGCCGCACGGATCCAAAAACTAATCGATAAGGTTCAGTTTGTATAATTTTTCACAAACAAATCTTACCAAATAAGCTGGAAATAAATTAAATTCAATAAATCTGAAAAGACCGTTTCTCCAAAGCAAGTGCTTTATTAGGAACTTAAAGTGTCGTCAGAACTGGGTTAATAAGTACGATTAAAAATTTTTATTAAAATGGTAAATAAATATGGTTGAAAATGGAAAAAACTAAATTCAGAAAAATTTAAATGGGAGAAAAAATTTTATTTAAAATAAAATCTAGGACAGACTGAAGAACAGTTTCTACATTATTAGAGGACATTAATGCAGAATGTTTTTTATTTTTTATGGATGTAAATCATAAATAAAACCTCGCATTGCTTCAAAATGTCTAGTTTTTCATTTAAAAACAAATAAACCAACCATCTGCACAGGTCAGATGAGCCTTGCATGGGAGCAGCAACTTGGTTAGTGCAGGACAAAGAAACCAAGCAGAAGTTTTGCATCAACTGCTTCTGATCCCAGAGGAAAACTCACCATATCTGAAGTCTGATCTTCTTCCCTCTCAATTCAACTGTCTTGATTTTGAAATCAACACCTACAAAAGAAAACAGAAATGTGAATTCAGCTGAATGACATCCGTGATTTCTTTCATTTAACCAGGTGAATTCATTGAGAACAAATTCTCATTTTTAACAACGACCTGATCAGAAAACATTGAAACATCATACAGCAAAAAAGGAAAAGCAGGCATTTCATGCATTATGTTTTTTACTGAATTGATAAAGGTTAACATCGACATTTCTTCCATTGCTTTGATTTTCATGTGAATAGCTTCTGGGTTCGTTCCATTCAACTGGTTTTTAATCTTGTTTAAAGTTACCTGTGATGGATTAAAGTTCCGTTGATAAGCTTTTTAACATTTGAGGCATTTTATTGGGATTTTATGGGATAAGAGAATATCTCATCTTATAAAACAGAACATGATTCTACAGGAGGAAAAACTGCTTTTTTTAATTTACATTTTTAGAAATAAATCTCTGAAAAGTGTTAGAAGTGACCGAATTGGTAAATAGAGTTTGTTTGTAATTTAATGTCAGTATTAATCCAGCTAATCTTTGAAGACAGAGATATGCAGAAGATACAAAAAAAAAAAAAATAAAAAAGACTAAAGATTCACCTATCTGCTGGACAAAATCCCTAAATAGCTATGAATAATTATGGAACTACATCCAATCAAAAATTGTTGCAAGCGTTCAGATTTGAAATTGAGCTCGTCTGTAGACAACCTGACTGAGAATGGACATAAATTCCTAAAGTTCAAGTCCAAGATGACTTTTGGGATAGCTGCTTGACAAAGAAGAGCGCAAGTGTCTAGACAAACTCGTGCGCAGGGTTGGGTTGGTTGTGTGGAGGTGTCTGGACTATCTTTGAGATGCTCTGCCAGAGGCAGGCACAGAGCATCCCAATCAGTGGCCTGTGACAGTCATCCCCTCTAATCGATCACAGCTGGGCAAGAGAGCAGCTGCAGCCAAAAGTTCCTGGACTGCAGGACTGAATATTTACCCCCAAAGCCAGAATACAAAAGAATACAAAACTCCAATCATTGGTCACCAACAACCTGACCGAATCTATATTCCTGACATCTGCTTCTTTGGCTAAGTGCATACTGAGATACTTTGAATTGTACTTCATATTTTTACTTTATTTTGTGTTACTTAAGAGAAAATTATGTCTCTGAGCTCTTCTACAGTGTTAAATCTTAATTTGAAGGGTATGACAACAAGTAGTAAACATAGTAGATTCATATCTACTTGTTGCATATTTTAAAGTAAAACAGGAAACGCAAGTTGAGAACACAGCAGACTTATATTACACGATATAAATAAACATTTCACAGGACAATGCAAAACATTTCCACAAGTGGCCTCTAGTAAAATGAAGCTAATATCAGAGAGTCTTTGCTGGGTCACAGGAATGACAAGACAACATGGAGCTCTGTCACAGCAGCTGCTTGTGTGGGACTATTTTGGGACTGGCCATTATGGCTGGCTGAGGTCCAGGTCACAGGACTGTTTACAGGGTCGCAACAACAATTAATTTTAAGTTTAAATAAATAAGAAAGGCACATTCTTCATCTCGAAATGATGCAGGGAAATATTCAAATTTAAGATGGAGGAAAATGGGAACTAGTGGCTGAACTAGACCAGACATTCATCTCATAAAACCTACATCAATTATTTTAATTTTATGTCAATTAACGCTGAACAGTATATTTTAATTGCAACTATTATCCATACAGACAATTTTTAGACCATTACAAACCCATTAACACAATGGGAAATACAACTTAACTCTATTACTATAAACTTTAGTCTTTGTCGTCTTGAACCAGTTAGCATGAATTAGCTTCTCCCAGTAAACAGACAGGGAAACCCGCATTTCGCTCATTCCATCGTCGTTTTAATGGGTTTTCAGGAAGTAGTCGGATCCCGTTTTTAAAACCAACTGAAACTGCCTGAATAAAAAGTAGAAAAAAAACAGATCTTGTGCTCACCTACTGTCGACTTGCAAGACTCGCAGAAAGTGTCGTCGGTGAACCTCTCCATGAGACTGGTTTTACCCACTCCACGGGAGCCAATAATTATGATCTGGAGTTTGAAGTCAGCGGGTCGGGGAGGCATCTTCCTGCGGCGGGACTGAGCCCCCAGAGCGGGAGACGAGTTCCCGGAGCCTCCGCTGCCGCCGCCGGCAGCGGCCCTCCGCGGTATATCATATCTCGGATCCATCAGCGATTCCACATTTATGACAACAAAAGTAACATATGAACAAAACGTCAGCTGAACTACTGCCGAAGTAATTTGCTACTTCAAACTTTCTTTATTGTCCAGAGAAGTTATGGAAAGTTTGTTGTCCGCTGATAGTTGTTGTTCTTCAGCCATTAGAGACCCTGGATGTCATTGCGTCATTTCCGTTTCCCAGACTCATTTTTATCCAAATATTTGCTTCTAAAAACACAAAATCTAAGACAAAAAACCCCCTAGGAAACTTACAATTGAACGTTTTCTTGTTTCCGCTCATTGGAAGATGAATTATTAAACTGACAAATCCCACTTGCTTCTTGCAGCTCCTGGGAATGGAAAGGAAATAATTAAGAACTAGAAGAATAAACTGGTTAAATATAGTTCATTTCATTTCTTCTTCTTTAAATTTACTAGCGGTTAGCAAGAAAGGTATTTAATTTCTTTGCATCTGAAAATGTTTATGTAGGAGATAAACCCTGAAACAGTGGCGTTTCAGGGAGTTTCACCCATGGGCGGTCCTAGATGGGGACCTCCAGGGGCAAGTGCCCTTGTAGAATTTGTCCTGATCCATATTAAGAGGAATACTAAATCAATTTCTTATTATACGCGCTGACACAGAAACTGTAACTAATTGTTTTAGTCATACTTTAACAATTAATTCAAAATTAAGCTTTTGCTCTTTTAGCTTCAGTCATATTGAGATAGGATCACAGTTCTGTGAAACCTACTCTGGAGGTGGAAGTGGCTCTGTGGATCACTTAATATGTTAAACAATTAAATATTGTATATATATTTTTTGTTTCATTGTTTTGTTAGTATCAGAAATCTGAGATTAAAGTCAGAATTCAAATGAAAAAGTTTGGCTTTATTCTTAGAACTGTGTTAAAAAAGTCTGAATTTTGAGGGGAAAAAAGTTTTAAATCTAAGATGGAAAGAATTAAAAATTCTGAGATTAAAGAGGCACAATTCTGAAAAAAGTCAAACTTCTGAGAGTAAAATCAAAAGTCCAAGACTAAAGGCAGAATCTGGAGGTAAATGTTTGAAATCTGAAATGGAAGAAAAAGTAACATTTCTGAGAAAAAGTCACAATTCTGATATTGAAATCAGAAATTTGACATCAAAGTCTGAATTTAGGAATAAAAATTTCACTTTGATACCAGAAATGTTTGGAAAATTCCTGAATTCTGAGGAACAAAAAAAGTCTGGATTCTGAGATGGAAAGAAAGTAAAAATAGTGAGATTAAGGTTACAATTCTCAGAATAAAATCAAAATTCTTCAATCAAAGTCAGAATCCTGAGATAAAAGTCAGACTTTAATTCAAGAATTGTGAAAAAAAGGTTAAAATTTAAGAGAAAAAAAATCAGATTTTTTTCACCAAGTGCCCCTAATCCACTTATTTGTATTCATTTATTTGTTTGTTTTTTATTTGTGTTTATTAACTTTGGTTTAAATATTCAGGTTTGTCCTCCGCGGCACCCGTAGGCTGCGACATCCGATGACGTTTCCGTTGAGGAGGAGTTCCTGCTAATCCAAACATTCACGGGATTATTATCGATATCAGGACCGTTGAGGAGCGGCGGGATGGCAGCTCAGAAGATAAACGAAGCCCACGAACACATCGCGAAAGCGGAGAAATGGTGAGAAACGACAGAAATGAGAAGATTTATCCGCGGAGCTAGCAGCAGTTTGTGTTGCTGTAGCTAGCTGCTGTAAGGCTAACCTAGCAGCTTCCCCACACGATAGTGCGACATTAATAAGCATTTAATAGACACTTATTAGTATTTTCTCATCATGGTTGCTTAGCATGATTGTTATTAATTCATTATTTTATTGTTGTAGCTTAAAGACGAGTCTGACAAAATGGAAACCTGACTTTGACAGTGCGGCATCAGAGTACGCCAAAGCAGGTAGCACAAATCATAAACCCTGGATGGAGAGAGAGAGAAGGGTTTTAACGAGTTTATAGTAAACTGTCTGTGTGTTGATCTTTTGTTTCCAGCTGTTTGCTTCAAGAACGCAAAGCAGTATGATCAAGCGAAGGATGCTTACCTGAAGGAGGCTGAGTATCACACAGAAAACAAGACGTATCCTGCAGATGGCATTTAGCACCCATTGTAAACAAAACATGTTGAAAGGTTTTGCAGCACAACTCATTTATTTTCGTTCTGCTGCCATTAATTACCCGCATCTTTCTGTACATTTCTGTAGAACTTCACAGAGTTGCAAACAAATTGTTCTCCAGATTTTCTAAAGGTTTTCTGTCAAAGTTTGATTATTTTTTCACTCATTTGTCAGCTTTATGCTGACCTGGACAGCATAAAGCAAAAAACAAAACAAAAACAAAGAGCTTCATAGTTTTCCACCAATTGATTTCTGAAGTCTTCCTAAGTTAAAACGTTAGTATTGTTGTTTCTAAATTAATATGAATTTTCTGAAAGCACAGCATTTTTTTATTTTGACCATTTCTCATTTTATGCAAATAAATACTAAATACTAAATCATGTTGACAGTAATTCATAGAATAAAACGACAATGTTCATTTTACTCAAACATAAACCTATAAGAAGTAAAATCAGAGAAACTGATCATTTTAAATGGTCTTTTAATTTTTTTCCAGCGCAAGACAAAACTAACTTGCAAGTAACTTTTCAGCAAGGTAAATGAACTTGTTTTAAGTCAATATTTACTTAATATTAATGAAAAAGTACAGATTATTTCACTTATCACATTTTCTTCCCATTTTAAAAGTTTCATGTTCAATTTAAGCCTTATGTCCTAAACATGCATCTGTGTTGTGTTCTCCACGTTTCCTTAACTTGATCTACAGACTCTTTCATGCTGCAAAGTAAGTATCATTAACTATATTTAACCCGCTGCAAACATGAAACTCGCCGTTTATATTGTCTCTAACTGCCCTCCTCTTCCTCAGGGCTATTGAGCAGGCAGGGATGATGATGAAGGTGAGTGCTGGCAGGACTTTGTGATCCGCTGGGAGGCGATATTCGTGCGGTGTGGATTAACCTGCCTTATTACAACAGGAGCAAAAGAAGATGCCAGAGGCCATCCAGTACATAGAGAAAGCCTGCATGATGTACATGGAGAATGGGACGCCTGACACCGCCGCCATGGCCTTGGATCGGGCCGGAAAGTAAAGCCAACACTCTTCTCTCCTTGGAGAAGCACAAGATTTAACTAATGTGATAAACAGTCAGCTCACACTCTGGTTTTTATGACTTCATCATAGTTTGTTGCATTACGGCCACACATTTAATGCAAAGTCCTTACAAGCTTAATCCCTGTGAATTTAACACAATTAATTAAAAAAATACCTCATTAATCCCAGAGGGAAATTAAAGGTTTTTGTAACTTGTGCAGTTTTCTCTGAAGAAGAAGGATTTCCAGTAGCAGTCTGTATTACAGCTCTTCAGAATAAGCCTCTGATTGAAGACACTGTTATTATGTTACATGAAGAGATTGTTTGTATTGATTAATCAGTTAAAGTAATTGTCAACTAATGTAGTAATTGATTAATCACAATTAATCAGACTCAAAAAGAAGCCTGAAAGAACAGCATTTCCAGAGGAGTAATTAAGTCAAACTTGTACATATTATGTATACTTTTTGCATTTAAGGTGAAAACTTTAATGTTTTACCCAAAATTCATCAAGTGGAACTTAGTTTCAGCTTCACCTGGTTTAAAGTCACTAACGAAATGCAATGTTGCATTTTAGGCGATAAAATGTTTTATTAAAAAGGAACCAAATTATTTATTTCCATATTTGAATTCATTTCTAATCTGTATAGAAGACTTAAGTGATTAAATGAAAGATCTGCAGAATATGCAATTCTTTATCCGATGAATCGATTAATCAACAGAGTAATGAATTACTAAAATAATTGTTTCTTGCAGCCCTAACTATAAGTCTTTTTAAAAAATTATCATTAATATTATCATTAGTATAATAATTAAGTGAATCCTGAATGTGTTTGGTTGCCCTTGAGTTTATTTAGGATTATCAAAGTACAAATACACATATTGGATTAATTTTCACATTTTTATTTGCAAAATATCTAGGAAAACTTAATTAATTTCAGAATTTTCCAACACTTTTTGTTGGTGTGCCACATAAAAACATTAAAATAGACTGAAGTCCGTGATTATAGACCCTTAAAATGAGAAAAACTTAACAGATATAAGGACCTTTGCAAAGCACTGCAACATTGTAGCTTCTGGCACTTTAGCATTAATGTCTGGTCATGAAAACAAATGGTGCAAACAGATTTTCCTCTGAACTAAAACACATTTTTCCTCCTCAGACTCATAGAGCCCATAAATCTAGAGAAAGCTGTTGATCTTTACCAGAAGGCAGCAGGTGTATTTGAGGTGAGAAGCCCTTTAGAAGTTGAATATTTCAGCTTTTTGGGTTATTTTGCTATTGCTTAACAACATCGTGGTGCAACGTTTGCAGAACGAAGACCGTCTGCGTCAGGCAGTGGAGCTGCTGGGAAAAGCCTCCAGACTGCTGGTCAGGTTAAAAAGGTGAAAGGTTATTTGGTGGTAATTTTCCACTGGATTGTTTAACACACTGTGTGCACAATTAGTGTTAGGATTATTTTTTATTAATTACCAACTATAGCGCTCAAATAAGCCTTTTTATTGCCTTTTTTTAGGAAAATATCTAAATGTGCTCAATTATTGTGCAGAATTATCACGCAACTAAAATTTTCCATCCCACTTTTTAAAACGTTATCTGTTTAGGTGACCAATAAAGTTAGAAAATATGCCTGCAAATGATGATTATGTGTTGAAATATTGACCTGCATGGTGTTTGTGTTTGCGATGTTGAGCAGATAATGTGGTTGTGATAGAAAAGTGATTAAATTTATTTTAAACAGGCTGGACGAAGCTGCAGTTGCTCTGCAGAAAGAGAAGAATATGTACAAAGAGATTGAGAACTTCCCCATGTGTTTCAAGGTGGGTCTGCTCAGGTTCTGGTTCTGGACATGACCGGATCTGATCCAGACAGAACCGTTCCTGGTTGATTCATGCTGCTCTGTTCAGTTATCTGTTAGGGCAGAAAAGAGTTAGTCATAAATGTCATAAGTTGTTTTGTTTTGTCAGAAATCTTTTAGTTTTTTGAT